ATATTTTAATTATATTTAGATATATATAATTTTATTTGTGTATAATAAAATTAACGAAAAATAATTATAAAAAATGAAATAAGGTTAACCCGCGGGTTAACCCGTAACCCGTTAGGGTCGGGTTAGGGTTAGATGTTTCCAACCCGCAACCCGTTTATAACCCAACCCGTTTAACCCATCACCCGAATTGACCCGACCCAACCCGACCCAACCCGCCCGTTTGCCAGGTCTAGGTCCAATGTTGCTTCCAAATACATAAAATAAAATAAAATAAAAAACAAGTTGAAGGCCAAGTGCAACTAGGAAGAAAGAAGTGGAACAAGAATGCCAAGAAAAGTTTTCCACGCAAAACGGGCTTTAAATGTGTGGCCCAATGTATTGACCCATCTCAGCAGCCCACATCTACTCAGTTCAAACCCACGGCAGCCCTAAGAGAAAATTGAGCCCACCTCGGCAGTTTACCTACCACCTGTTCAAACTAGCCACACTCCCCCTTCACCAAAACACACCGTTTAAGCAACATATTGCTTGAAAAATCAAAAACACCCTAAATCCCCCATTTTAGCCGGCACACTTTTTCTCTCGTCTGCAACATCGTCGATCAACTCCTCCACTTTTCTGTTTCGATCACGAAACAATCACCACAACCACAGCCTGCAAACGGCTTAGTCACCACCAAAGATCCATCTTTTCATCCTTTCCATACTATTCTTTTCTTACTAGAGAATTTCCAACGTTGTAGTGTCGTTCATAACATTGAGAGCTAAATAAAGTAACTCAAGTCCTCAGAAAGATAAAAACCACTCACAATCACCAGACATCAAATCATCAAAAGGAGTTCTACTAAGATATTTTGTGGTTTACTTCACGTAATTTATGTTTCCTTTTTCATTAGTATTTACTGAATTGAACCGATTTACAATGAATACGTTATCATTTCTTTTGCTTTTTTTCTGTCTCTCTTTGGAAATTTAAAATTTAAAATTAGTAAAATTCACATCAAGCAACTAATGAAGTTGAAGTGCAATTTATTGATGCAGCTTTAAAGTACAACAGTTCGCACACACAAAATAAAAATAAGAAAAAACAAAGAAACATAGGCAAAAGAATACATAGCCAAAGAGACTACCGCCAACAGATAAACATTCATCTTCAACGGATCCTCCCCATCATTCTCCTTCTTGACATCCTAATTCGGTAAGTCCTCATCAGCCACTCACATGTTCTTGCAAAAACAATGTTTCCAATCACCACACCAACAAGGAATCCACATCCACAACCCAACGCCACTGCTTTCCAGCCAAATTCATTCAGCTAGTGATCCAGAATCTTCATTTCCTTTAGAGTTGGAAGATGGTGGAGGTGAGGCCTTTGAATTGTCACATTTCCTTGACAGTGGCAATCCACACAACCCTAAATTCCCATCAAATGAGCTATTATCAAATGTATCAAATTGTTGGCCTTTCGGGATAAGTCCTGTCAAATGGTTGTAAGATACATTGAAAACTTCAAGGAAATTGAGTTGCGTCAGCTGCTTGAGAATGCTTCCTACAAGTTTGTTTTGAGAAAGGTCTAGAGCTTCAAGATTTTTGAGATTTCCCAAGGCTGGTGGGTTTGGACCAACAAGGATGTTGTCGGAAAGGTTGAGCAGTTGAAGTCCCTTTAAGCTCCCTACTACATCTGGAATCTCTCCATCAAATTTGTTGTAAGAAAGATCAATGGCAGAGAAAATCTCTAATACCTTTGCATATTCCATTTTCACTCCTTTGTTTGTTATTGTCATTGAGTAGGGGTATGGACTAGCACCAATTAAGCCATTCAATATATAATTGCCATATGCATGCCAATATTTTGTGTTCTCCTTCTCAACATCTACCATGGCACTCCACAAGTTGAAGTATTTTGTTGGTAGAGAACCAACAAATCCATTATGAGAAAGGTCAACAATCCGTAGATCAGGAAACATGGAATTATGGAACATTAATTGCACCATAGAAATTCTTGAAGTGCAAAATGGGAATCTTCAATCTAGGAAGAGTTTCCAACCAATAAGGGAAGGTATCTCTGATTTGATTGTTACCAAGATCAAGAAACTCCAACATTCTACAATTTGCCAATGATCTTGGTACCTTTCCTCGCAGATTAGTCTCTCTTAATTTAATCACTTGTAAATTGTTTCCAGCTACCGCAGACAAGACGTTTTGTCTTTTTCAAGAAATAATTGATCTAAAGTACTAATGGAGAATAACACTAATTTAGAAAACTCAAACAGCTTCCATCATGCATGTTGTAAACCTCTCACCTCAATTACTTATTCTCTGGTCTATGGACTTAATATATCTTACGGTGCGAAGGTTATAGCCAGCATTACAATGCTAGATAGATAAATTTGTTCCAAGCCAATTGAGGCATTTATCCATTCAAAATTGAATCAATATATAGGCAAACCTTATTTACAGAACACAAGAAAAATTCCCTGGTTGTTTCCTATCAGCCATGCAAATAAGCAACTGAAATGCAACAAAAATATAAAATGAAAATACAAACGCAAGAAAGGCATTCTGCTTACATCACCAACATTGAGATCCAGATTTCCATGAGTGTTTCCATTTCCAGATGCATTTTTCTCATCATTAGGAATCCACTTGGAATTGCTACTCTAAGGCCCATCAGAACCATTGTTGGGGCTCTTAATGAACATTGCATCAGTAACTTGATTCCCTAGGTACATAGATTCATTGGTCACGCTGGCACTTTCTGAAATATTTTCCAGCTCTGCATTAGATGTCTGGTGCTTCTCAATTTCCAGTCTTAAAACACCTTTCACAGGTTTATGGACCTTGTGTTTAGGATCCTGTTATAATAAAGGAAAAATAAAAAAGAGTGAAGCAGAAAATCAGAAGCCATTGCTGCATAAATGACAAAGCACCAAAAAGGGAAAAAGAAGAAAAAGAAAAAACAGGGGAAGAAGATGCTGAAAAGCTTACTCTAGAAAAAAAATATGCATATAAATGCTTTTAATTAGTGAAAAAGGTAATTATGTGCATTTCTATATTCAAAAAAGGATAAGTTCTCATAAAATATCTAGAGAACATTTCAGATTCTTCATTTCTTAGACCTCCCTTTTTTCACAGCATTTCTTTGGCAGAGTTGTTTTGGGTTTTTTATTAGCACCTCACTTACTTTCTTCAATACTTTCTTATAAGCATTTCTAAAAAGTAGAGTTTCCCTCCAATACTTCTTTAGACTTGTGAGAGAAAAAAGTGCTTATAAACAAGTTCAAGAATAAGCTCTGCCAAACAAACGGTCATTGAGGGTCATTAGCTCCCATGCACTTATCAGTCAAATGCATGCACATTTGCTAAAGCCAAGGTATAACACAACAATATTTTCAAATACTTCACAAATGACCCCCTCCATGCCTCTTATCTGCGAAGATATCTTAATCACAAAGGCAGATAGGAAATGTTATAAAATTGTATCGTTTGATGAAGGATTCCATAAGTTGAGCAATACAACCTCCAGTCGAAAGCAAATTTTGCTTCACAAGTTAGAATTACATCATTATTTGTTTCACAAAAAATGTAAAGCTCTAAATGAACAGAAACCTCCAAAGCGCAGCTAACTCATTGACATATAATTACATTTGATATACAAAAAGCCCATTTTCCATAGCCTCCCCTACCCTCTACCTCGTCCTCATCTTCTCCTATTGGCATTGGCACAGGATGACTGCATGAACATACCTTCAGCCAGTTTATATTGGCATGTAATGACTCCATTAAATCTTATAAGCAATCAAAATTATGCATATAGGGATGGAAGAAATGAAGGACTTCAACTAGTCTTCAACTTTTCTTTGCAAAACATAGAAAATAAAAGCCAGAAATCAACTAGAATGTCAAATAAAATTGAGCAAGTTAGATGTCCATTATACCTGAAGTGACTCCTCAGTATACCTTTCTTTCACTCTATGCAAGTTAGATATTTCAATTCAACAACAATAGAGCTTCAGCTTGAATAACCCATCTTCCCATCTAACGTAATCTTTGCAACAGACTCAAGGACACCTTCATGGGAACTAGACCAAGACATGCTGGGAGCAAGACGCCTACTGGGAGAAGCAGATCCACCAGAAGCTCCACCAATGCTATTATCAAATAAAGGAACAATAGCCCAGGCGAAGGACTCTCTGTAAGGCATAATTCGAGACCACACCTGCAGTTTCTGCCTTTCTCTCTCAGTCAAGTGCACCTGTTAAGGAGAAGATACAGAACAACAATAATTATAAGGAATTTATTGGAGATGCAGAGGGTAAAGAAATGATTACCATTAAGCAATAACAATAGTCAAAAACCATACAGCTACTAAAATAAATCAAAATTATATTTATTTTCCCCGAGCTTTCATCAACTCTAAAATATTTAAGAGTGTCTTACAACAAACTTGATGTTCAGTTCAACATTAGTGGCTGAAGATCTACCCTCATATTCCAATAGCCAAAACTATGTTGCCTCACACATGCAACAATTCTCAACTGACATAGTTTAAATTATTTATAGACTTTCCTAATCATCTCTTCACTAAAATGAGAACACTTAGCATGCAATGTAACAATTTAAGTTCAAATGCAAAACGGCTGCGTCACCAGGTTTTTTTATTGTTTTGTTTTCTCTCATCTTTTAAAATGTCAACGTTCACCAAACTCCAGTCAATTAATATTTCTGAGAAATAAACATCCCTTCCTACTGGACGTACCAAAACATTGAATTCTAATCACCTATGAGAAACAATTTCATAATCAACTGATCCAGAACATTAGAGTAACAAAAGGATCAATGCAAGCAAAATAGAAGTCATTTATAATTTGTAAGGAAGCATAGATAAAAGAAACTATGGTAATATGTAGCAGTAGGAGCATAGATGAATGAATAAGGATGAAAATCAATATGGATGAAAATCCTCTGAAAAATTACTAATTTCACAATTATCTTGTTGTAAGAGAAAGATCAAATGCTCCACCATCTCAGCTAATGTTAATCACCCTGGCCCAAAAACTAAAATATCAAGCATTAATTGCAATGCCAATGGTTAGCTAACTTATCTAGCAGATGCAGAGCCATTATTTTCCACAGTAAGAACTACAGTAAAAACCAATTGAAAGACAGATGATGAGGAGGCGAAAGTTAAAATTCTTGCCTCCAGATAACAAGCAAGCCAACGGGTAAAAATCTTGCTGTCAGGTAACAAGCAAGCCAACGGGTAAAAATCTTGCTGCCAGGGAACAAGCAAGCCAACAAAAGAGAAATTTTGTCACATTTAATCAAAGGTCAGATTGAAGATGAACAAGATGGAAACAGATAAGTTCTTCATACATACAGGTTCTTTACATGAATAAACAGAAGGAGTCACTCCCCCTCCTTCTGTGCAGGCGTCTCTAATTGGATTAGTAGCCACACAGATGCTGACGGAGCATCTAAATAGAAAAGTCCACGAGGTTCTGAAGATACTTTATTAGTCTGTCCAGGTAAATGAGAAAGAGTGGATTTTTAAGTCATCAGTGTGAAAAACCAAAGCACCAAAGAATTTAATGCTAAATTAGCTTTAAGGCTTACATCCTGCATTTCAGTTGGTAGAATGCTAAAATAGAAGTCTTCTGACAATTTTTCTCCTCTCTCCCTATTGTATAAGCAAATTGTACCATAGAATGGCTCTGAGACAAAGAGAGGGAACTAGGTCAGAAATCTTAAAAGTGCAAAAAATAATGAAATAAAGCAGTATCTTAACACTTGAAGGAAGAAGTTGCCGAAAGCGAGTGCGAGAGAGAGACCAAAGCCCAAATTATAAGACTTACCCTTCCCAACAAGACTATTACAGTTATATCCCCAAGACGATAACCATCTAAAAATCCAGATTCCTCACTAATGAAATGATTCCATCAAAATCCCATCTCAAAATTCAAACTTCCGCATTTCCCCCTTCAGCCCATCAAAGTGAAGCAAGAATTTTTATGCAAACAGCATTTGCAGAAATTATACTAAAACTTTAAATCTAAACGAGCCTACGAAAATTGAAAGGAAAAGGAGGCAAAAACACATTAATATATAATGAATGCAAAAAAAAAAAAAAAAAAAAAAAAAAAAAAAAAACCAACAACAACGACAACAAAAGACAACTGCCGCTATAAAATCCGAATACAATGATAAAAAAAATATTCATTAACACTTGACAAACAATAATGGAAAGTCATGTTGAGAAATGCCAAACATAGAACAGTATTTATGTTTTTACTTATTTTAATCCCTCAAAAATATTATAGCTTATATGACCGTAGACAATAAAATGCAAAGAAAAAGAATCATGTGAATATCTTTTTTCTAGAAAGCAATATACAGAGATCAACCTTTAGACGTTATTAAAGCAAAATAAAACTTCAAACTTCAAAGATCTATTAGATTTTTTTGAGTAAGAACTATATTAATTTTATATTTGTAATATGAGTAAAGAAATAAAAAAACTGCATAACTGTATAGAAAAGATAATAAATGGTAGTTTTTCTCTGGATAACTTAAATTAATATTTAGTTATTTATTCTTTTATCATAGATAAAAAGTTATCCACTTTAGTAATAATATTGGAAATTATTCCAAAAAATTCTGAGAAGATTAGTAAGCCATGAAATTATATGTAAAATTTGATGTAATAAATGATATACATTAAGGGTCAGTTTGGTAGTGCTTCCTGGAGTTTTTACTTTTTTTTTTGTATTATTTATGAGTGATAAGTTTAAATTTTTATTGAAAGAAAAATTTAAAAGTTATTTTAGAGATAGAAAAAAATGAGTAAAAAGGAAGTGTGAAAAACTTGGATTTAAAACTTTTGGGTTTTTACTGTTTGAGATCTTTTTTAAAAAAATTTAAAAATATAATTTTTAAGAGGAAATTTAAACTTATGAAACATAAATAATATCAAAAAACTGAAACTCCTAAAAGTAGAACTGAACAGGACTTAAGTAGGATTAATGATTCATGTCACAAAAAGGACACTAATGTGCCCAACCACCACATAATCTCTTAAATTGCTAATAGATATAGGGTTTGTTTAACCTATCACTTAAGGACAGAAGTTAAATATATATTAAATATAGTTTTTATTATAAATTTATATTAAAAAATAAAAGTTAATTTTTAATTTATCATTTATT